TGGGTTTGAACTGCAGACCTTGTGATTAGCAGTCTTGCACTTCCCTGGCAGTGCCACTGCAGCTCCTTGTAGAGTTTTCTGAACTACTGAATAGATCAGGATTACAAAATGATACTGAATAGATCAGGATTACAAAATGATAGAAATGCTGCTGAAGACAAGATACTGTCAGCTGCCCGCGGAGTTGGCTTAGAAGGGAAGCAATGTATAAGTAAGGGATTCTGGTAAATGTTCAGAATCACATCACTGGCAAAGATACAGAATATAGTGGCACATTGGCTGTGAGGAATGGAAGAAGGCTGGCATGAGGTAGGTGCTGATGACAGTCATAGTGATGATGATCATAGTCCATGTGAGTCTGCTCCTCGGGGTTCTAGAGTATGAAAGTTGAACGACACGAAGTGTTCAGAGTCATGTCTGTTTTCACCACAGACTATTGCTGGGCATGTGCTACATGGATGATTAATAAGCCTATGTGTGGAGGATTATTACATATCTTATTCTATATCAATGTTTCTACAAATGGAAAGATGAGATGGGCCCACAATGATCCACACACAAAATTTAGAACAACTCTAGTAGCCCTGCAATGCACTCTCTTTTTAGGCGTGAACTTAAAGGGGGCCCGATGGCACATGTTGAATGGCAGTGACATGGCAGTTCTCATTTCATTAGTTCCTGTGTGGCTTCAAAACCAACCTTTTCCATTTGCTTCCCCCCCCCCTTAAAAAATGCCTGCAAGAAGGATGCTTGGTCCTTCTTATCTCATAAAGAAACATTTTCTCCTTAACCAACCTCTCAGTGTCCCTAGTAAGCCCAAACTGTTTTGTTTGTTTGTTTTTCATTTAGTTTAGTTTTGTTTTTTAAAGTCAGACCCTGGCATTGAACCAAAAAGAGTAAGGCACACTGTCCATCCCTCCCCTGATCTAGAAATGGTAAGCAGGATCTGGTTGGGTTGGGTTTTCCTGAACCTCCACCTCATGCCGTCAAACTGTTCTTCCCTTTGGCCTTTGAGTCCAGTGACACCCTGGATGATCAGTCACAAATACCTCCTGAGCACCTACCTTGTGTAAGGTTCTGGAAGAATTGGGGCCCTCACTGTGGAGAAACGCACCTGCCTGTACTTAGCTTGCAATCCCGTGGTGCCCTGCTCTCCTCGCACGTACTTGGCATTTATATGATGTCAGAACCATCCGTACCTCGTGGCTGGAGTCTCCTTAGAGTTGTGGAGGCTTAACTTTAGACCTAGATGACAGTCTTCACATGTCTCCTGATGAGGATGTAGCAGGGGTGGGCGGGCCAATTGCCTGGTAAATATGAAGGCGAGCTCATTACAAGTTGACCACTATGGAAAAATCCTTTTCCCCCTCTTCCTCCTTAGCCCCTGCCCTGGAAAGCCTCACTCAGGGCTGTGAAGATGAAGGCTCTCCCTGGTTCCTGGATGTTTGTGGTCTCTCTGAGGAATGAGTTTAATCACTAGATTTGGGGGGAAATAACTGAAATGGACCTGCAGAAAAAGGAATACACTATTCAGAGAGCGAGATGGCAGGACAAGAAACAC